GACTCCCCAAAGGCTGCGCAAACCTCTCTTTCCAAGAGACCAAGCTGTCCCCTTCTAGTGGGGTCCCTAAACAAGGTCTGACCCCAACTCCTCCCTCTTCAGCAGAGGTTGAGAGAGTCTTGGAGATGGTTTCTCGCATTCTGTCGAAAACTATTCTCCCTTATTCCTCTGAGGGACCATCTCTAAACATTCAAAGATCTGCAAAAATGAGAAAAGGGGGAGTGTCGATGCAAGCTCGAGCTCTTTGATTGATAACGTAAAGCGAGCTGCTGAGGCCATTGCTTCTATCCTCCCCGAGTCTGACATTCAGCGGGCTTCCACTATGCCACTTGGAAGTTCCATTTCTACTGCCCTCTTTGCCGCTACTTCCGTAAGTTCTGCTATATATGTACATATATGTTTCTTTTTTATTTGATCGTTCTGATCTAAGCTTCTCCTAGGTTGGGTTTGCTCTCAGATGGCCATCCATATTAGCGGGCTGCTGAAAAGAATCCAAGCCATGGAGGGTTCTGTTCAGACTTCCAGAGCTTTCGAGCTTAAGGTCACAGAGTTGTCCTTTGAAAACAGCGACCTCAAAGCTCAGATCCAGGATTTGTAGGAGCAGATGGAGAAGCAGACTTCCCTAAACAGGGACTTGAAATAGAGAAGGAGAGGATTGAGGGTGAAAGCAGGAGTTATAAGGAAGAGGTCAGAAAAACTAAGGAGGAACTCAGAAAAATCTCTGGGAGCTCAAGCAGAAAACAGATGAATGGCTCAAAGTCAGTCAGGAGTCCCTTGAGGCTTTGAGCTCTTACCGATCTATGAAGAGGGAATATGACCTCCTGACTGAGACAAACGACACTCTTCGGGAAGAGCTTGAGATGGAGAGGGCAGCAGGTAAGGAGAAAGACAGTCTAATTGCCAAGCTAGCTGATGATGTCACCACTCAGTGGGCTTTCGGGTGGCTTGCCTTTCAAGATAGAGCTGAGGAGCTTTACTCTGGACAACAACTGAGGAGAGGGCAGAGGCAGTCGATCCTGAGGTTAACACCATGCCTCCTCATGCTTCTAAGGCTATCCCTTTCTCTACCGACCTCATCTCCCAAGCTCTGGCTCTAGACTCACCATTTACAGAGGTCGATGTCCCTGCCTCAGAAACTCCTGAGGTTCCTCTTTCCCTACCTTCCTCAGAGCTTATAGAAGCTCCGACTTCCGAGCTCCCAACCTCTTCCCTCTTAGAGCCTTCAATGGAGGATTTGTCAGCTACTTCCTCTGCTGAACTTCCAAGCTCCCTTCCTGCTCCTGCTGCTGAGACTTCTCCTACTGAACTGTAGAGTCCTTCAACTACTCCCCCATCAGGAACTTAGGGCTTTTAAAATGAGAAAAATTTGTAACTCTAAAATGTAATTCTTTTTTGTTTTTGAATAGCACAATTGATTCACAGCTTCTCTTCTCTTCATTATATTTGTACTCGTTAATTTTTGTCTTTGAGTTGTGCTGTTTTACTTTATATCCTTTCCTTGCCCCCCTTTACTTTGAGAAGAACTGAGTTATTCTAAAAGCAAATCTGTTGGAACTGCGAGTCTATTGGCTCACCGAGCTTCTTTCAGAGGAACGAAACTGAGGTCTAACTTTAGGAGATTGCTATACTTGTGTTTGGTGGATTTGGCGAAGAGAGTGTGTAACTTGATGCTGAGGTCCATAGGTATTTGAGAAGTAGGGAGTTACCTTGGAAGGTCCATGCAGTCATACGAGCTGAGCTTAGCTCTTAGACATCTGAAAGTAGTGAGCTGCCTTGGAAGGTCCATGCAGCCATTCGAGCTACACTTAGCTCATAAATACCTGAAAGTAGTGAGATGCCTTGAAAGGTCCATGCAGACTACCAAGTTCTATTATGAGCTTGAAGTTACTCTCCCAAGTTAAATCGCAGCTTATTGTACTGAACTTTTGCTGGACAACCGAGGGTTGTTAATGTTTGAGACGGATGAGGAATATCAAAGAAATGTTGAGCCTACTGGGTCTGAGTTCGTTTTGATCTTCTGTGAACACCCGGTCAAAACTCTTCCTCCCTCCTCCCTTATTTTATTTTATTTATTAATTTTTTACGCGCTTCCCCAACTGCCTTTCAAAAGTGTAACCACATTTTTTAATTAAAAAACCAAAAGGTCTGCCGACTTTGGTTCTTGTATATGTTTTTGATTGCATTAAAGCTTGGTGTTCTTATGATTTTGTTATACCTTCTTGGTTCCTTCCCGTTTTCGGAGCCTCTTTTTATTCTCGAAGATTTACCATTCTTCTACTTCTGACTTTTCTTTACCTTGAATTTGTCGATGGCTACCCCTATCTCGCCCTTGTTCAGTGAACAGAGATTCTTTGAAATTGAGTGGGAGTGATAGACTCGCTACTTAGTTCTTCGTTAATATCACCTCAGATTTAGATGGGATAAAAAAGAAGTTCTTCCTTGACGTGGAACTAACTCTTCGGAACCCTTCTACTGATGAGCCCTGCAATTATCTTCCTCGAGGGGAGACTTGCTTATTTGAGGGGACTTTGGATATAGGGTTGTGTCTTCTCATTCATCCCGCCGTTGGTTATATCTTGACTTATTACGGTTTGTGCCCTTCTCGTCTCTCTCCCAAGGGGTGGGCCACCATGATCAATTTCTTCTGTTTTGGCGCTTACGGGGTGATGACAAATTTCCCACTGTAGGAGAATTCTTTTACTTTTTTGACCTTGAAGAGGATGAAGTCCCATGTTTTGTCTGTTTTCGATGGAGGCATTTCAAGTTGTGGCGTCTGGTGTTTGACCTTCCTTCTCTTCTTGAGAGATGGGCTCATTGCTTCTTTTATGTTTCTAGGGACTCTTTGAGGTCCATAGAGCTGCACTACAGAGAGTGCAGAGTTCCCAGATCTTGGAGGAGCTATTCTTATTCAGGTAAGTATCTCGGCAGCCTGTACTCGTTCAGGTCTCCTGATGTTGTTTCCTAATCGTAGGATTTGATTTGGTTGGTAGGTCCTCCTGAATTGGATTTATTAGAGTAAATGCGGATCAATCAGATGATCGAAGTTGAGCCTGTGCCTTTCTCTGAGCTGATGACATCGGACAACTTGTTTCTGTTCAGCGCTGTAGGTGCTGCTGTGGACTTTGTTTCTTACCCAAATTCTGCTGATTCTTGTTCTTCTGAATTCGATGAGGACGAGGATGTTGGTACACCTCTAATAAATGCAAGAGGAGTGGCGCTGCCAGTGACTCTTCGTCTTCATCTGGATCTACACTGGCCACAATTCTGTTCTTCTCATCCATGCAGAAACTTATAAATCTACTGAAAGAGGCCCAGAAGGAGAGGGATGAACTAAAAGAAGAAAACGCCCGCCTGAACGAGGAAGTTGTTGAGCTCCAGAGATGCCTCAAGGGTGATTAAGAACTGAGAATATCTCTTGTAATCTTTTTGCTTTCTATTGCTACTGGATATGTGAGCCTTTGTTCTTATTTGATGGTTACTGACTCTTTTGTCGATTCCTAAGCTCGTGGTTTTGAATTTTGTCATATGTTTCTATTCTCGGGCTATTGGGCCCATTTTAGTGAACTGGGAAGTTCGTTGGGAGCTACAAAGCTCATTCTTATGAACGGGAGAGTTAATCGCGAGCTATAGAGCTCTTTTTATGAACTGAAGGGTTCATCGTGAGCTATAAAGCTCTTTTAATGAACTAAAGGGTTCACCGCGAGCTATAAAGCTCTCTTTATGAACTGAAGGGTTCATCGCGAGCTATAAAAGCTCTTTTTGTGCAAATCTCTCAGGCATGAATCAAAGACTTATGGTTTTATTGAGAATGATCAAATTACAAAATTGACTCACTAAAGAAATTTCTTGAGATGTTCTGCATTCCAAGAATGGGGCATAATTTTTCCTTCCTCAGTCTGTAATTCATAGTTCCCCGGTCTGACCACCTGCGAGATGATGTAGGGACCTTTCCAATTGGGCCCCAACTTTCCACGAGTGGGGTCCTTTCTTGCTAACAATAATTTTTTAAGTACTAGGTTACCCACCTTGAAGTTCCTGTGTCTGACCTTTTTGTCGTAGTACCTAAGCGGTCTTTTTCTGGTAATTCCTGATACGATGTAGAGCTGCCTCTCTTTTTTCTTCTAAGAGATTCAGACTCAATAGAAATGACTCATCGTTGAGTCCATCATCTGTAAGTTCAGTCCTGAGGGATGGAAGCCCAACCTCGATAGGCGCAGCTGCTTCAGTTCCGAAGGCCAAGGCAAACGATGTTTCTTGAGCTGCTGACCTGTTGGTCGTTCTGTAGGCCCATAACACTTCTGGGAGGTGTTCCACCCAGTTACCCTTCAGATCTTCAAGCTTGGTCTTCAGAGCCGCTTTTATGGTTTTGATGGTGACCTCCGCTTGCCCGTTAGACTGTGGATGAGCTGGAGCTGAGAAGTAATTCTTAATTTCGAGCTCAGCACAAAAGTTTTTGAATTTTGAATTGTCGAATTGCTTCCCGTTGTCAAAGATGATTGTCTTGCGAATACCAAACCTACAGATTATGGATTTCCAAGTAAAGCCCTGGACTTTATGTTCAGTAATTGTTGTCAAAGGTTCCACTTTTGCCCATTTGGTGAAGTAATCTATCCCAATGATGGCGAACTTGCACTGTCCTACACTAGTAAGAAGGGGTCCCAGGATGTCCAAACCCCATTGCTGGAAGGGCCATGGGCTAATTACCGAGGTTATGAGCTTTGGTGGACAATGAGGGATGTTAGCATGTATTTGGCAGATTTTGCACCTTTTGACTAGATCTGAAACATCCTTGAGCATTGTGGACCAGTAGTACCCCTACCTTAATGTCTTCCCTGCCAAAGTCTGGGCTCCGATTTGGTTGCTGCAAACTCTCTCGTGGATTTCTCTGAGTATGTAAATAGCGTCTTCGCCCCCCACGCACTTAAGAAGAGGTGTTGAAAAGCCTCGCTTGTAGAAGTTTTCCTACAAAATAGAAAATCTAGCTGACCTGGTTCTTAGCTTGGCAGCTTCTTTGGGATCTTCTGGCAAAGTTCCATGCTGAAGGTACCCTAGGATAGGGTCCATCCAGCTTGGTGGGGCTTGCACAAGTAGTGTTTCTTCATCCTTAATACACACAGACGGTTCTGCTAGGTGCTCTACTGGAATTAGCCTATCCAAGCTCTCCTGCGAGGCTGTTGCTAATCTTGCCAAAGCATTTGCTCGCGAGTTCTCGGTTCTCAATTCTTGGAACATATCTAATCTTAACTTGTACGAACTTCTTGATCAACTCTTGTACCTTTTTGAGATAAAGAATCATCTTCTCGCCTTTAGCTTCATAAGCTTCTTCTATCTGTTTTAACACCAGCTGGGAATCACTGCAGATCTTCAACTGCTCAGCTTCCATTGAGTGAGCCAGATTAAGTCCGACAATGACGGCTTCATACTCTGCTTTATTGTTTGAAGCTTTAAACCCAAATCTGAGGGCGTACTCGACGTCTATCCCATCTGGAGAGGTTAGTATCAGGCCTGCGCCACTTCCTTGAGCATTGGCAACTCCATCCATAGAGAGCTTCCATGTAGGAAGGTCAGGTACTAGCTGCGTTGCTTCCATAGGTACTGGTGTTGTAAAATTCTACAATGAAATCTACTAAAACTTGACCTTTGACCGCAGTTCTAGGTTTAAATCTGATGTCGAACTTGTTGAGCTCTATGACCCACTTTATCAGCCTCCTCGAGGACTCTGGCTTATGCAGCACTTGTTTCATTGACTGTTCTGTTGGAACCTCGATGGTATGAGCTTGAAAATAGTCCTAGCTGTAGTTACCAGCGCTAAAACAAGCTTTTCCATTTTCGGATACCTCTCCTCCGCCCCCCTCAGAGCTCTACTGCAGTAGTAGACTTGTTGCTGGGACTTGTCTCACTCCCTCACCAGAGCTGCACTAATTGAGAAATCTGAAACAGCTAGATAGAGGGTTAGTTTCTCCCCCTACAAGGGACTTATCAAGACAAAAGGGGAGCTCAGGTAAGCCTTCAAGGCTTTGAATGCCTCTTCACATCGGGCATCCCATTGGAACGCCTTTTTTAAGATCTAAAAGAGAGGCTGACATTTATCACTTGACCTGGAAACAAAAATGACTCAAGGCAGCTACTCTTCTTGTCAAGCGCTGGATCTCCTTTACATTAGAAGGTGGTTGCATATCCAAGACTGCCTTTACCTTTTCTGGGTTAGTCTCAATTCCTCTATTGTTGACTATGAAACCAAAAATTTTTCTGCAGATACTCCGAATGCACACTTTGCAGGATTGGGTTTCATCTTGTATTGGTTAATGACTTGAAACAATTCCACTAAATATGCAATGTGGAGCTCTGCCTTCAGTGATTTCACCAGCATATCGTCGATGTAGACCTCCATGGTTGTTCTAATTTGGCCTTGGAACATTCGATTCACTAGACGCTGGTAGGTGGCTCTTGCGTTTTTTAGTCCAAAAGGCATGACCTGGTAACAGTACGTTCCATACTCAGTTATAAAGTCAGTTTTTTCTTGGTCGGCTGGATCCATTCTGATCTAATTATATTCTGAAAAAACGTCTATGAAACTGAGAAGTTCATGTCCAGCTGTGGCATCTACTATCAGGTCTATCCGAGGTAAAGGAAAGTTGTCCTTGGGGTATGCTCGGTTGAGATTAGTGAAGTTAATGCACAGTCGCCACTTGCCATTGGTTTCCTTGACAAGAACCACATTGGCTAGCCAGGTAGGGTAGTCAACTTCCCTAATGGCTCTGACGCGGAGAAGTTTGCTGAACTCCTAATTGATTACCTTCTGACGTTCTGGGGCAAAATTCCTTCGTTTTTGCTTTGACCGTTCGATAGGTGGGATTCACACTGAGCTTATGTGTGATAATCGAGGGGTCGATTCCTTCCATGTCTTCTTACTTCTAGGCGAATACTCCCCTATTCTCCTTTAGCAATTAGATGAAGAGATCTTTTATTTCCTTGCTTAACTTAGACCTGACGTAAACAAGATGTTCTCGCTCCTCATCAAGTTGAATAGGCTCTAGTTCTTCTGATGGTGTTGGCCTAGTATCCAGTTCATCCCTCATATCTAGCTCATCTAGTTGGACATTCTCGACTTCTCTCTGTTTCATCAAGGTCATGTAGCACTCCCTTTCTACTCGCTGGTCTCCTTGGACCACTCCAACTCATTTTTCGTAGTAAATTTCATACCCAAGTGATAGGTAGAGGGGATTGCCTTCATTGCGTTGAGGGAGGGCTCCCGAGAAGCATATTATATATAGAAGGGGCATCCACCACTAGGAATCTTATCGTGGTGGTGGCCTGGCAGGGAGAGTCTCCCATAATGAGGACAAGCTGAATTGAACCCAAGGGCAATACCCTCTCTTTTGTGAATCCCAACAAGTGAGCACTGATCGGCTCCAGCTTTTCCCTACCGATGCCCATTTTGTCAAATGCAGAAGCGAATATAATATCTGTCGAGCTCCCGTTGTCAATCAAAACTTGGTAAACAGTTCTGTTAGCCACAACAGCTCTTACCACCAGTGGGTCATCATGGGGGTGTTTGTAGCCTTCCAAATTTGAGTCTGAAAAGGTGATGGCCGTGTTCAGCCAAGGTGTCTTGGACACAGTGTGCATTTTCAGTGCTTCGCCTGCTCTGATTTTGCGCATGTGAGCCTTTCTGGCAAAACTGGACTCCTTACCTCCTGCAAACCCTCTAGAAATTACTCTAATTTCGCCCAACGGTTGTTGATGTAACATAGGAGCCTGTTGCTGAGGAGGTAGAGGTAGAGGGGCTCGGTCCTGATTATCCCGAGCTACATAACAATGCAACTAACCTCGCTAGATCAGGAACTCAAACTTTTTCTTCAATTGGATATAATCATTAGTATGGTGGCCATGGTCTCTATGGTATTCGCAATACTTTGTGGGATCTCTTTTTGTTGGGTCTGCTTTCATCCGTGGTGGCCACTTTAGAAACTTCTCGCTCTGCACCTCATATAAGATCTGAGATATCATTGCGATGAGTGGGGGGAGCTGCCGAGGTGCGTACCATGGTTGTAGCTCTGGTTGTGGCAGACCTAAGCGATCTCTGAAATCTCCCCTCCTTTTAGGGGAGCGATTTTTGTCCCTTCTTGGAGACCTATCACGCCCTCTTTCTTTTCTGGGACTTCGGTCCCTTTTATTTTCCTCTTTCCCTTTGTCTTTTTGCGTAGATAAACTTCCCACCTTTGAGAGGAGGGCTTCTTTACCGTTTATGTATTTTTCTGCTTTAGCCAATACCTCAGCCATGCTTGCCTGAGGGTTCTTTGAAATAGAGAACATCAGATCTTTGGATTGTACGCCTAGACCAGCTATAAACGCTGTAATGACAAACTTCTCATCTGGGACATCCATTTTCAGGGACTCCGAGTTGAACTGCTGGACATAAAACCTGAGGTTCTCTTGGGGTCCTTGTTTCACGTTCGATAAGTGGTAGCTCGGTTTCCTGTATGTCTGAGCTCCTATGAAGTGAAATACAAAGGATATAGAAAGCTTTTTAAAGGAGGAGATTGAGGCCTAGGGGAGAGCCTATTAAACCATGTCAACCCTTTAGCGTGATGACGAAGGCTCTATAGTGCATTGGGTCTTGGTATCCGTGGAGCTCCATCTGATTTTTATAAGTATTTAGGTGGTCAATGGGGTCCTTTGTTCTATCAAAAGCTTCTATCTGCGACATCCTGAATTTTGGGGGAGAGAAAAATGCAATACGCCTGCGGTGAATGGTGACTCAATCTTTTGCACCAGGGCATCTATTGTAACTGGAACCTTGTTCTTCACAACTTCCTTCATATGACTGAGCTCTTACTGGATGCCATTAAAGCGTTACTCCCAATATTGCTCTCTCCTCTCCTGTTGATAAGGGAGAAAATCATTACTTACTTCCCCAACGTTTTGACTTTCTACCTCTTCGTTGCGTCCGTTCCTTGGGGGTGGATGAGAATCTTGTCTCCAGGTCTGACTGTTTTCCCCTCCTTCACCTATTTCTCGAAGGGGGTCAACATGTTGCTGCTCTCTGTGAGGGGGGTTATTCTGGCCTTCTTGGGCCGGTCGTGCCTCCTCAGGGAGTTGCAAAAGCTCTTCATTCCGTTGTATCAGGCGTTGATTAACTACACGAAGAGCCTCCAACTCATTGTTTGTGTGAGGATTCCCCAAGGGGATTTGCCCCTTGGACGTTCTCAGGCTGTCTATCGTTGGTGGCTTCCTGTTGTTCTTGCATTCGTGGTAGATTGGTCTGACTTCTGCTCATGTTACGGGTTGAAACCATCAGCCACTGAAAGATCAGTGTATTTGTAACAGGAACAATTGTTCCCACAGACTACACGAAACTGATGGTATAAATCAACGCAGTGTAAATTTATGGTAATGAACAGATGGAATGATCGGTATCTGGCTATTAGAATCTGAGCTACAAGGCTCTAAAGAGCAAGGACTGGTATCGATGAAAAATTGGGGATTAACGCAATACAATTATAGTGGTTCACCAGCTTGAGAACTTGGCTAATCCACTTTTCAATGAAGATTGTTACTCCTTTTCTCTTTACTCATCATTCAGAAGGTTTACAAGATAGAGTATATGTTACTAGCATTTTTTCTCTCTTGTTTTGGGAGAGTTACATAATATTTATAGGGCTGTTCCTAATTCTATGGAATCTGCACCGAGATCCTTACTATTTATCCGAGGAACTCTTCTTAATCTTAGGAGATGATCTTGACTGGTTAAGGATTTTATGCCTAGAATATGACTCTTTGCCACCTAACAGATTTCTGTTATCATCCAACTGTTTCCTTATCACTTCTGTTGTTGGCGCGCCGGGGGAGAAGCTCTAGCTCTGTCCTGGGCTCTGCGTGTCTTTCCTGACTTCTTTTTCAGACCTGCTTGTCTGACCTCCCTCATGCATGGAAATTATTTTGAGTACTATCAACAACAAATTAAGAACTATTAAGTATAGTTTGGTTGTTGGGAATATATGCAAAATTAAAGAACTAGTATGAAATTTTCCACAATTTAGAACAAAACTCGCAATTCAAATCAATCAAAGCATCTCACTTCAATAATTAGTCTTGCTGGAGAAGAGAGAAGGAGACTTACAATGCTATTTGAGTTTCTTTCCTCTGCTTCCCCTGCAACCAAGTATAGCAGCTGAGTTTCCAACATTTAAATCAAATATGAGAGCTCAAATCTCTTATGCATGTCCTAAGGATGGGTTTAATACTTCAGAGTCTAATTTATTGACATCTGCTTAGAAATTTAAATTTTTTTTCTCGGTAATCGTGAAATAGAAAAAGAACCATTATTGAGTATAACAAAGGCAAACTTTACCATTGATTTCATCAAACTCAAGTTTTTGTTTCACATATGTTAGCAGCAAATGGATTAAAAGGCAAGCTTGGAAAAGCAGCATTTGTGGAAAACTGGATTTCAACACTCACATCTGTATCGGCCTCAGACGCTATATTCAACATTTTTTTTGAGTGGGATGAATCCATGAGTGTTCCTGGTGCCTTCATTATAAAAAATTACCATCACAATCAGTTCTACCTTAAGACAGTAACCCTAGAAGACGTTCCCGGACATGGTCAAATCCATTTCATTTGCAATTCTTGGGTTTACCCAGCACATCGTTACAAATACAATCGTGTTTTCTTTGCAAACAAGGTAATTTTTTTTTTTTTTCACTTGAATTTACTTAAAAATATGTATAATTAACAAAATCAGAAAAATGATATCTAGATTTTGACTGACCTTATTATCTAGACTCCATTGTGTCGTGAATACTTAGGGGTGATCATTATGCTTTATGGTCTTTTAGCAATTATAATATTAGAAAGGAGACTGGTACACCAGCCATTAGTTTGTGTTTTGTTTGTACCAATACATATGGCCTATAGTTATAGTAAACTTCATATCATGATGATTAGCTTTTATCCTCAATAATTGAAAGCTGCTCATTATCATATAGCAAAATCAGATTACATGGCCACCATAGTATCTATCCTACATGGCTGTCCATATGATGACTTTTACATGATTTATGTGGGCTTATAGAAATATCTAACCCAAGAATCAAAAGTTGTACTTCGGTTTCAGTTACCGAGGAAACGAAAGCGTTTCGCAATCATTTCGAATATAAAATAGAAATAAAAAAAAATTTGAATTTTTTTTTTGTAAAACATTGATCTAAATACCTTGAACACATGAATTTTGATATTCAATAACTGAAAACGAAAACATTTTGACGATTTTGAAATGAAATTTAGATCCTAGAAATGAATTTTTTCAAGAAATCAGCCTCAAGAAATTAAGAAGTTTGTTGTGCTCTTAAAGCATGGACTAAGACAAGAAGTAAGGACACTAAGTGAATATACCCTAATTCTATTGTCAGACCTACCTACCATGTAACACTCCAGAACCACTACGCCAGTATAGACAAGAAGAACTCATTAATCTTCGTGGAAACGGAGCGGGAAAGCTCAAGGAGTGGGACAGAGTCTATGACTATGCATACTACAATGATTTGGGAAATCCAAACAAGGGCACAGAATATGAACGTCGTGTGCTTGGTGGATCGGAGAAGTTCCCATACCCCCGAAGAGGAAGAACAGGTCGTGCGCCAACAAAAAAAGGTTAGAAGCAGAAAACCATATTGCTTAGAGGCATTATATATTTGGTGGTTTTAATTCTTCTTGTTTAAGAAAAAAGTCTCATACTTTCTTTGCTTTTAAGTTCTTAGGCAGTAACAAGTTTTATTACTTTTAGTCAACAATTCATTTTGTCTATTGTATTTTCAGATCCCAAAACTGAAAGCAGATTGCCACTTCTTAATCTAGACATTTATGTCCCACGGGATGAACGATTCAATCATGTGAAGTTTTCAGATTTCCTTGCCTATGCTTTTAAATCTATAGGCCAGGTATTGGTCTCAGAGGTCATTTCATTTGACAAAACTCCTAACGAGTTTGACACTTTCCAAGATGTACTGAAGGTGTACGGAGATGGGGGTAAGCTACTCAAACTCCCGATGCCTGATGTAATCAAAGGTACAAAAAATTCTATATCTCCCTTGGGTTTTACAAAGTAGAGTCTGAAAAATATTAAGGATTATAACAGTTCAATGGATATTAATTGCAGAGGATAAGTCTGCCTGGAGGACAGATGAAGAATTTGGACGGGAAATGCTAGCTGGAGTAAACCCTGTCATCATCCGTTGCCCCCAGGTCAAAAAAAACTTTCATTCTATTAGTTACCTGTAAACGGATTCTGGTTTCTGATGAGAATGTTGCTTGATATTCGACATACCAGGAGTTTCCACCTGCTAGCAAGCTTAACCCTGAAGAATATGGCAATCAAACCAGTACAATCAAAAGGGAGCATATCGAGAAGAAAATGAATGGACTAACTATAGATGAAGTAATGTTCCTTATTCATTGTGTTGCTCGCTTAATTATAAAGGGAGAAAACAAGAGAAGGGGAAAATTCAAGTCTATTACGTGTTTTTATATGTGTTGTACATGAAGTATGAGAGTGATTTATTTATTTTTTTTGAAATTTCATGCAATTACAGGCACTTGAGAACAAGAAGCTCTTCATATTAGATCATCATGATGCACTGATGCCTTACCTACAAGACATTAACTCGACTACCACGAAGACCTATGCCAGCCGAACGCTACTCTTACTCCAAAACAATGGGACATTGAAGCCACTGGCAATTGAGTTGAGCTTACCACATCCACAAGGAGTCAAACATGGAGCCACCAGCCAAGTCTTCACTCCAGCAGAGCATGGAGTAGAAGGTTCAGTATGGCAGCTGGCCAAAGCTTATGCTGCTGTCAATGATTCTGGCTATCATCAGCTCATTAGCCACTGGTATGATTTAACGATTAAAAACACAAATATTCACAGTAAGGCAAATCTTTAAAAGCTTTGATGTAATTAACAATGCATACTTTAGTGATTCTAATTTCGGTTGCAGGTTGAACACCCATGCAGTAATAGAGCCATTTGTGATTGCAACAAACAGACAATTAAGCGTGCTTCACCCAATAAATAAGCTTCTTCATCCCCATTTCCGTGATACAATGAATATTAATGCCTTGGCTCGGCATATCCTCATCAATGCAGGTGGGGTGCTTGAGATGACAGTCTTTCCAGCTAAATATTCCATGGAAATGTCTGCTTTTATTTATAAGAACTGGGCTTTCACAGACCAGGCGCTTCCTACTGATCTGCTCAAAAGGTTAAGTCACATGCTTAACATAAACAATGGCATTGTCAATTTTGGATCTTTCCTAAAAATTAATTTGTTTCCAATTTTGCTTTCTTGCAGAGGAATGGCAGTTCCAGACTCAAGCCAGCCACATGGACTCAGAATGCTAATAGAGGATTATCCCTATGCAGTTGATGGGCTTGAAATCTGGTCTGCAATCAAAACCTGGGTCACAGAATATTGCTCTTTCTATTACCCTGGGGATGACATGGTCAAAAGTGACTCTGAACTCCAATCATGGTGGACAGAGCTACGTGATGTGGGCCATGGTGACAAGAAAGATGAGCCATGGTGGCCTAAGATGCAGACAAGAGATGAACTCATCCAAACCTGCAACATTATCATATGGGTGGCTTCTGCTCTACATGCAGCTGTCAATTTTGGGCAATATTCTTATGCTGGCTATCTTCCAAACCGACCAACCATAAGCCGTCGCTTCATACCTGAGCCAGGCACTCCCGAGTATGCTGAGCTAGAGTCAAGTCCTCATAGGGCCTTCCTGAAAACCATCACAAGCCAGTTCACAACCCTGCTTGGTGTGTCTCTGATAGAGATTTTATCCCAGCATTCTTCAGATGAGATTTATCTCGGGCAAAGAGACACTCCTGAATGGACGTCTGAGGCTCAACCACGAGAGGCATTTGAGCGATTTGGAAGAAATCTGGTAGAGATCGAAGGTAGAATAATGGATAGGAACATGGACAAGAGATGGAAGAACCGAGTTGGGCCTGCCAATGTGCCTTACACCTTGCTCTATCCCAGCAAGTCAGATACCAGTAAAATTGGCGGACTTACTGGCAAGGGAATTCCAAACAGTGTCTCAATGTGAAGCTGTAAGAGGAAAATGATCAGAGTGTCATTTTGAAGCCATGAAAATTTTAGAATGTTGTACCACAAGCAAAAGACTACCAACTGGGTTTTTGTATCGTCCAGTTTTAAATTTATTTTCCAAAGTTACATTTGAGGCAGCTATAGATACAGACATGTTCCCCTATTAAATAAGTGATAAACATGATGGTTTTTCTTTTCATAGGTTTCCTTATGTGAGGGCAACATTGTTGGAGAGTGATATCTCAAATGTGCCCAAATAACTTCAATCTGGTAGTGACTAATGGCCTCCATAATTAATATCTCAAATTCGTTACCAAAACAAATACATCAATTGAAATTTGAGAAAAGCAAAACCAGCTGAGTCTATCCCATAGCGAAAATCAAAGGAGGCAACAGAGCAACCATTATCACTGTGATGGTACAATCTAATTCTTTTGTCTTGTCGTCAGTTCAATTTCGACAACATCTTGCATAAATTGCAGTTGTTTAATGACTTTTAGGAATTAGGTTATTGCTTGAAGCTTTGTGCTTATATAGAAAACCACTTTCTGTGGTTTGACACAGCACAATTTGATAGATCATTTTACCATCATACATAACATAATCGCTGACACATACATGGATCGAGAAAATGCTCTAACAATATGCAACAGCTGTATTGCATCCAGTATCTTGAATCTGAGAGAGAAAATTTCAGGCTTCGAAATAGTCTTAAAGTCTGCCTGGACTCCATTAAGGCAGAAACCGATGATTCATGTTGATCAAACCTGAGTTTAACTGTTATAGCATCTCCATTATATGGAGTCATCATTGTGCAATATAGACTTCATTGGCAAAACATAGGAATCACAATCAGTTTAAGGGAGATTGGTCAGACCCACACATGATGGACGGTAATAGATTGTGGTTAACATTGCCATGTGTTTTTGTGGGACCGAAGTGTTTGCCTGAGAATATTAAGAACATTTGGTAAGCATTAATATTGTCAATTGCAAAGCCAAGCATATGTGTCGCACTTAAGTTGATGTTCCTACAAACAACCATTGATATTACAAGTGCAAAAGATAACATATGTTGAATGGGAAAGAAACCCACTAAACCTCTTATCTGACAATCTAATATCGGTAACGCTACAAACAGTTTCTACTACTAAAATTGAACTGAGTTCTTGGTGCTTACTAGAGGACTTAACCACTTACGCTGTTTCCTCGATCATCACAAGTCCCTTCATAAAAACTACATTGAACATGAGAGAAAACAATAATTTCACAGTACCTATTCCTTCTTCTGAATTTTATGTTTCAATTTTGCTTTAAGAGATCACTTAAATCTACCTCTTTACAGCCTTCTGTTCAGAAACAGAGTCGACAAACAAGATTTCCATATAAAATTCAAACTTCTATTAGGGTTTTACATAAACAATTCAACAAAACCTTTCACTAAAATTCTTCCATTAATTACATTTGCTTAAAATTGTTTTCTAGAATATCACAAAGGGATTTACGATTCAGTGACAAGTGTACAAGATTTAGTCCCTAAATCATGTACCTCTCTCTCTCTCTACCGTTTTACACATTAATTCCATATTAGTGTTTGAATTCATGAAGAGAAAAATAGCTCAAATTGGAATCAAAAGAGCATGGTTGAAGAGATCAAACAGAAATGTCAAAAGCTCTCGTACCTTAGTATATTGGATACCTCCATTAACAACAGGTACAGAATGGAGGAGAGAGAAAGATGTTGAAGCAGAGGAATAATAATAACTTGTGGAGATTTGAAGCAGTGAAACAACATTTACAGCCAACAGTACGAACTGAGTCGTCGTCATCACCACCTCTCCGCCACAAGCTTCACTCTCTCTCACTCACTCAATGTGTTTCGTGTGTGCCAGGTTTCACGATTTTGGCACTTCTGCAACTGCCAGCACAGTGAGCGTAGACAAATGTCAACTAAATTAAAGTTCATCCCAACGACAAGACGACGACGTTGAAGCAGAGGAATAATAATAGAGTACTGCTACATTAACGAGTAATGCTACTTGTCAGTCCAGCATTATTGATAATAATAACCTGTGGAGATTTGAAGCAATGAAAAAACATTTACAGCGAACCGTACGAACTGAGTCGTCATCATCACCACCTCTCCGCCACAAGCTTCGCACTCTCTCTCTCTCTCTCTCTCTCTCACTCACTCAATGTCTTTCGTGTGTGCCAGGTTTCACGGATTTTGGCACCTCTGCAACTGCTAGCACAGTTTGCGTAGACAAATGGCAGCTAAATTAAAGTCCATCCCAACGAAAAGACGACGACGTTTTTGTCCACTCTAGAATTTTGACTATTTAGTGTAAAGAAATGGTTAATGTTAGGGTTACGGCTCTTTGTTGATTCTAATACTCCGTTTGATACGATGAAAAGGAGAAAAAATAAAAAATTAGAATAGTAAAAGGTAAAAAATTAGAATGGTAAAAGGTTATAAGGATAAATAAAACATCATATTTGATATAGAAAGAAAGTAAGAATGATGAAAAAATAGATGAATTAACTTTTTTTTCAACTTACTAAAATTAATCCCTCCAAAATCCGAAGGAAAGTGGATGTAAATTAATTATTTGTGTTGAAATTTATCTCATTTATCTCATTTATTTATATATCTTTTTCTATATACATATATTATATATACATTAATTTCATATAAAAATACAATGGTAAAATATGTATATATATATTTTAAAAAATTTTAAAAATAAAAATAAAAATTTTGAATTAAAAAAAAATATTTTTTACGTCTTAACTAAGGGTGAAAATTTTCGACTCAACATGATGACATGACTCGAACTCGATATGAAAATAAACAGGTCAACTTGCAACTCGATACAACACAATTAGTTAAATGAGTTAGTTAGGTTTGACTAATATTTAACACAAACCCGTAATGACTCGGCACGAATTTGACATGACACGACTCGATTGTCACCCCTAATTTTAGCCAGAACAAAATATATATATATATATATATATATATATATATATATATATTTTTTTTTTTTCCATCCATCCAATCAAATATAAAGGATAGAATGTATATTCTTCCTACTTTCCATCTTTGTAGGATGAAAAGTGTATCCCTCCTACTTTACATGCTTCCTATTTTTCATCCTCCCTACCAAACAGAGCATAAGATCGGAGTTTCGAATTTCATCCTCTCTCTTTTTTGTAATAGTAATTGGCTCAAAAACAAAAAAATAAAATCAAAGGTAAAGCTTAAAATAGTGAATTGAGGTAGAGTAGATCGACTATTGAAAAAAAAAAGAAGTTTATGTATGGTCCCTCTGTTGTATAATCGCATTCATCTCTCTCCCAGCTTAACGTGGTTAAGATTACGAAATCTTTAGCTTACTTGCGATATGCTACTAAAATTACTAAGATTAGCATTATAATCCATCTAAGTAAAATTATCACAAAAATAAAATTGTTCGGGATCCATTCTAACTTATTGTCTTCATTTAGTCTCATTAAGTAGGAAGTAAACTTCATTAAATTATTTTAAATAAGTCAAAAAAATTGTATCGTTTTGTATTATCCCTCTCGATATCGTTACCAAACACTCACTTCATACTGGGAAAAAATTTACAATCAAATATTAAAAAGAAGAACAATTGCTAAAAAAAGAGGAAAATGAATATTTTTTAAAGGGAAAATTAGAAAGGGATATACCAAATTGAAGTTAATTGTAAAAAAATACAGAAAAAAATTAGGATAAAAAAGTCTTTAATTTTGATACTTATTTGTTTCTAAATACATTATTTGAAATTTTTATATTTTCTTCTAACATTTATATACTCCCTTGATCCGTGCGTATTTTTTTTGGAAAGTGGTGCATTAAACATCTTATAGTTTTATGAGAGAATTTTAATATTTTGTATTTTTATGTCTTTTCTTGATTCATGCATATTTTTTTTGAAAATAATTTTGCTTTCAAATTATATTAATATCCGAACTCCATAATAGTGTAATAATAACAGTATAACAATAACAGTGTAACAAAACATTTACACAAAATATTATACTATTACATTTTGTCAAACATATATTTTCATATAATTTCATTCAAAATAGAAATGTTCATTTCTGTTTTGAATTTATTACCACATGCACAAAATCATTGAACACTGTTTTTGTAACAGTATATTGTTACACTATTTTTGTTAAACTATTGTTTAATGAATTTGTTACGTTTTTGTTACAGTGTAAATAATTTTATATTTTAAAATTCAAACAAAGTGATATATTCTAAAGTAAACGGAATATTAAAGTTCTCTCACAAAAATAGGAGGTATTTAATGCATAAATATAATATGAAAACAAAACCACTTTTCAAAAAAATATTCATGAATCAAGGTGTATTAGAGATTTCAAATTAAATGATCATAAATTTAGCGCTTAAAATAAATGTCTTTATATAGTTTTTAGGAAAGAAAATTTTATAAAATGGACATTTACGTCTTTGTATCTCCGCTGTGTATTTTTTTCTAAAATATTTTGTTCTGTGTATTTTTTTACAATTATGCTAATTTGGTGTACCAGCTTCCAAATAACTTTTTTTAAAAAATTTAATTGCATATCAAAATCACAACTTTCTAGTTAGTTAAAGCCGTATCACCTTATCCAATATCCAATCCCCACATTTCCACCACCCATCTAAAATCCCACAAAATCACTCCTATTAGAAGTTTGTTGGTTGGTTTGTTGGGAGGTGTTTGGATTGACTTGTCCAAACTATTCCAAACTCAAACCCTTTTTTACAAAGATAAGATTCAACATTCAATTTCATCCATGCCCACATTTGGTATGCGCACGGATATATCACTATTATAATAATATTTTGTTTGTAAATAACTATTGTGCCCCTTAACCAATGTAATCCAAATCCATGTTTATTTACGTATATTTTCTTGTGTTCTTATAATTTTAATATATGATTAATTTTTTCTTCCTTATG